TTCTGCTACTTTTTTCCCAGGCTACTTTGTAGCATGATCTATCTTCACAGCAGAGTGTGTGTGTGTGTGGGGGGGGGGGGGGGCGTAAATCTTAACTAAAATTTAAAATGAACTATTAGTATGTCATACTACAAAAAAAGCTAACAGAATGTTAGGAATATAATGTAATATAATGTTAACAGAATGTTAGGAATATAAATCCATGGTATGCCCGTGTCTTGAATGCTGCATGCAGATGTGGTCGTCCCATCTCAAAAACATATCTTGGCATTGGAAAAAGTACAGAAAAGGGCAACAAAAATTATTAGAGGTATAGAACAACTTCCATCTGAGGAGAGATTAATAAAACTGGGACTTTTCAGCTTGGAAAAGAGATGAGTTGGGGAGATATGATACCGTTGGGGAGATATGATGACTGGTGTGGAAAAAGTAAATAAGGAAGTGTTATTTACTCCTTCTCATAACACAAGAAATAAGTGTCACCAAATGAAATTAGTAGGCAGTAGGTTTAAAACAAACAAAAGGAAATATTTCTTCAGACAACACACAATCAACCTGTGGAATGCTTTGCCAGAGAATGTTGTGAAGGCCAAGACTATAACAGGGTTCAAAAAAGAACTAGATAAGTTCATGGAGGATAGGTCCATCAGTGGCTATTAGCCAGGATGGGCAGGGATGGTGTCCCTAGTCTCGGTTTGCCAGAAGCTGGGAATGGGCAACAGGGGATGGATCACTTGATGATTACCTGTTTTGTTCATTCCTTCTGAAGCACCTGACGTTGGCCACTCTCAGAAGACAGGATACTGGGCTAGGTGGACCTTTGATCTGACCCATTCTTATATTTTGACTTTGATATAAGAAGTCTTGTTCATATTAAATCATTTCCCTTAATAAACTATGGATTCCTGGTGGGATTTTCAAAAGCATCTAGGGAACTAACCAGCCAAGTCCCCTTTCAATAGATGTTGGGTGCCTAAGTCCTTTAGCCACTTATTTAAATACCACCCCATTCTATTTATTATGGCCTCAAAATAAGATTTTCAAAGGCATAAAGTCAATAGGACTACCATTTGTGCCTTTGAAAATCTTCCATATTTTTTTGAAAGTGAGCAGAAATATTGGATATCCAATTCAGGACACCTTCAATAGGGTTGCTTTTTCAGAAAATTCTGAGCATCCACCTTCTGAAAATCAGGCCGTGTAGAAGTGAGCACAAATACTCACTGGTCACTATTGAAAATTTAATTCTGTGATTTTTATAGCATTTATCCCAAGCTCTTTTTACCAAGTCAGAATTAGAAATTGCAGTTTGATCTTATTTTTCGGTTAATGAGCATATGCTCTCTATTACAGATTGCTACTGAAGCCATAGAAAATATTCGAACTGTTGTTACTTTGACCCAGGAAAGAAAATTTGAATTTCTGTATGGACAAAATTTGCAAGGACCATATAGGTAATAGATATAAACTTTAAAAAAAATCAAACTTACTTTGTTTTAGAATTGAATGTAAATTTTCACTAATAGACTAAAACAATTTATTCTCTGTTGGTGCATCACAAAATCTCCTATATCAAACCCAGTTTTAACAATATGCAATATCTTTTGCTTCAAACAAACACAAGCCATCGTAACTATAGTTGTTTCTGTTCTTTGATTAAATGAGATTTTTCTTTTTACACCCTCTATGGTATTATTGGTATTTGCTATTGCAGTACCTGGTATGTCCTCATCAATTTTACTTCTCTTGAAACTATGTTCTGGAAATTGAGCATTTCATTTAGCAATTCTTGCAACCAGGATTCCTGTTTTTTGTGTGTCTGTGTGCACTTCTGCATTGTATACTGAGGCAAAGCTCTTATTAAACCCAATGGAATTTTGCATTAGTAAGGACTGAAGGAGCAAGTTCCAAAATTGTATAGTAGTTTCAATAGTAGACCACTGAGCAGTTAAGCTATTTCATCAGCCTAACAATACAGGCAATATAAAGCATCATATCATGTTTGACATAAAAGTTTGGTTGGGGCTCAAGGCAAAACAAAGAAGAGTATATTGCTCTACTGGGATTAGTTTTGCTCCCTGCAGAATTAGGACTTGTTAATAATTTCTTTTTTTGTACAATTTCAAAAATATGTTGTTTAATTGAAACTTGTAATCATACCACAGATTGTAAAATAATTTTAACACAATAGTGTTCAGACTCTATAGGGTAGGACAACAATTGCTCCTGTCAGATGTGTTTGGGATCACAGCTATAGTGATTTCTTCCCCTAGCCCCACCTTTTGATTTATTCTTGCAGGCACATGGGATCCTAAAACATACAAGAATACTGTTGTTTTAGGACCCAGTCCTGCAGGAGGTTGGGGAATGACCTCATCCCAAAGTACTGATGTCATAACTATAAAAGGAAGGGTGTAACAGCTGTCCTGTGTACAGTACTATAAAATCCCTCCTGGCCAGAGACTCCAAAATCCTTTTCCCTGTAAAGGGTTAAGAAGCTCAGGTAACCTGGCTGGCATCTGACCCAAAGGACCAATAAGGGGACAAGATACTTTCAAATCTTGGTGGGGGGAAGGCTTTTGTTTGTGCTCTTTGTTTGGGAGTCGTTCGCTTTTGGGACTGAGAGGGACCAGACATCAATCCAGGTTCTCCACATCTTTCTAAACAAGTCTCTCCTATTTCAAAATTGTAAGTAAATAGCCAGGCAAGGCGTCTTAGTTTTACTTCGTTTTCTCAACTTGTAAATGTACCTTTTACTAGAGTGTTTATCTTTGTTTGCTATACTTTGAACCTGAGGCTAGAGGGAGGTCCTCTGAGCTCTTTAAGTTTGATTACCCTGTAAAGTTATTTTCCATGCTGATTTTACAGAGATGATTTTTACCTTTTTCTTTAATTAAAAACCTTCTTTTTAAGAACCTGATTGATTTTTCCTTGTTTTAGATCCAAGGGAGTTGGATCTGTAGTCACCAGGAGTTGGTGGGAGGAAGGAGAGGGGATGGTTAATTTCTCCTTGTTTTAAGATTCAAGGGGTTTGGATCTGTATTCACCAGGGAATTGGTGAAAGGTTTCTCAAGGCTACCCAGGGAAGGGAATTAGCTTTTGAGAATGGTGGCAGCGGACCAGAGCTAAGCTGGTAGTTAAGCTTAGAAGTTTTCATGCAGGCCCCCACATTTGTACCCTAAAGTTCAAAGTGGGGATACAGCCTTGACAACTGAGCACTTGCAATTCCTGCTGAAGTCAATGGAAGTGAAGGGCTCTCAGCATCTTCTCAGGAATAAATACTAAAAGTAAAATACAGTTATGTATATGTTACCTGACAATACTTGTTCTTTGTTACAGAAATTCTGTGAAGAAGGCACATATCTTTGGATTTACTTTTGGCCTTACACAAGCAATTATGTATTTTACCCATGCTGGATGTTTTCGGTTTGGTGCCTATCTAGTAGTAAATGGATACATGGACTTTAAAAGTGTGTTTCTGTAAGTGTCTTTTTGCCATTTCTTTTTTGTCCATACAGGGGAAGGTGTTTTATATATGGGGGATAATAACCTTATGAAGGTAAAACCAGGAGGACTAGAAGAACAATAATACATAGACCATTGTTTGTCTACTTGCTGACCTGCAGCACTGGCCTTCATCTTGAATTAGGATCGATAACTTCTGTTATCTTTCCAAGTCGCAATGTTCCTAATAAGCATGTCAACTAGGGCCTTCATTTAATTATATATGAAATGCTGGTAGACGTTGGTATAGCTCTCAATGTGCTTTGTCTCAAATGTTGTGTACTGGCTTTTAAGGAAGGACTAAATAGAAATAGTGGAGGGAGTATTTTGAATTATGGCTAAAGGTACGTCTGTTCCAGCGGGTAGTAATTGATCTATCGGGGATCAATATATCACGTCTCATCTAGACGCAATATATCGATCCCCGAACACGCTCCCGTCGACTCCGGAACTCCACCAGGGCAAGCAGCGGTAGCAGAGTCGACGGGGGAGCCGCGGCCGTCGATCCCGCGCCGTGAGGACCAGAGGTAAGTCGAAATAAGATATGTCGACTTCAGTTACGCTATTCCTGTAGCTGAAGTTGCGTATCTTACATCGACCTCTCCTCCTAGTGTAGACCAGCCCTAATACTTAACATGTTATAATTCTGGCTTCAATAGACAGCCTTTCTGATGTCTGTTAGTGAAGTGCCTACAGGCCCCAAATGAGATTGGAGCCCTATTGTGCTAAATGCTATACATGGCTAGCTAGAGTCTCAATCAGAGAGTTTGTAGTCAAAATAGAAAGACAAAAAAGGCATGTGAGGAAAAGTATTATTGTATCCCTATTTTACAAATGGGGCACTGAGAGCTCATATGGTGTTGATTCTGCAAGTACCTGCTCTTGGTTGCTGCAGTGCATACCTACATGCAAGATCAGGGTCTGAGTGACTTGGTGTGACAGGGTGGGACTCACCACCACACTACTGTCTCCTGCTGGTCATCTTGCAGATTGGTACGCCAACTCCCAGTGGTGTCTCGCCCACTGTCACTTCTCCTCCTGGACTCGTGTTGATCCAAGGACCACAGCATCCTTTTCAGGACACAGCCTTCTGGCTGTGCCATACTCTGCGCTCCCCCTTTCCGGGGGCCAGTACTGCAATCCAACTGTCCAGCCACTTCCTCAGTGATCAGGGGCGGGGGACCCAGGCCTGCCCACTCCTCCAGGTCCTGGCCCAGGGACACTGTAGATGGCAGCCACGTGCTGTGTCCCCTCCAACTGCTCGGTACATTTCCCTGGGCTACTTCCCCAGCACCTTCTTCACCCTTACCTCAGAGCCTCTGCATGCCAGATTTAGCAGTCAGCCAGGATCTCTCTCTCACTCCCCTGTCCCTGCCCAGCACTTCTCTGTCCAGGGTTCTAGCTTTCTTCCACCTGCAAAACAGTCAGTTCTCCCTCCTTGAGCTCCAGGGAGCAACTGACCCTGCTCTGCCCTGCAGCTTTTCTTATATTTTCTGATTGACTGCCCCTCATAGCGCCCCCCTCCCATTGGCTGCTTTTCACACAGCCTCCCTAGGGCTTCATTAACCCCTTAAAGGCCAATGTGTGTGGGGGGGGGGAATGCCGCATCAGACACCCTCCCCCTTAAGACCAACTGCCCTGGGCAGGGGAATTACCTTCCCTGCTTCCCCCACAGCTGTGCCTGCAGGACATGCCTCTCCTGCCTCAGGTTTTCTACCAGGAGGAGCAACTTGCCATTCTGCTCCATATCTCTGAATTTCCCTCTGCACCTCTGCATTATTTTGTGCTATCCGCAAGGCCTGCTTGGTGGCTTTCAGTTTCTCCCATAACACCTAGCCCTGGCTCTGCAGGCTCTCCCAGCACCATTTCTCCCAAGGTCTGAGTCCCTACCACAGCTTGTCCTGCTTAAGTGTGGGTTCCCTTGTCTGTCTGGGTCCTCTCCGTTCCAGTCATCTTATCCACCATCTCCCTAGCACCTCCTGCTGGGCATGGGAGATTGCTCCATGCCCAGTCATCACCACCACCTGACCTAGCCTGGTGTGACCCATAGTGCCTAGGGCAGCCCTTACTGGAAATGCCAAGGTCAGGACTTGCTGCAAAAGGGAGAGCAGATACCCACCAGGCTTGGGAGTAACACTGAAGTCAAACTCCCCAACCTGTCACCAACTGTGCTTCTGATTCCCTACACTGGTTATCAAGAAGCAAAACAAGAAATCACACAGCCCCCTTAATTGCATTCCAGTTCTCTGGCTCCCAATCAGCACCTAGGTCCAGTGCAGTGAGAAGTTATTTAAACAACTCTGTTCACATATACAAAATGTTCTTCTGATCCCAAAGGGTCAGCCACGTTATCAGGTCAGTATGGGTTTGGATCTTACCCAAAATACCACACTGCTAGCCAATCCTTTAGTGTCTAAAACTAAAGGTTTATTATAAAGAAAAAAGAAAGAACAAGAAGAGAGATGTTAAATGGTAAAACAGTCACATACATACAAAGACTTCAAAGTCCATCAGTTTCCTAGTAGTACTGGTGAGTTTGCTGGCTTGAAAGTCCCACTGGAATACATCCACAGCTTGGATGGGTCATTCAGTCCTTTGTTCAGAGCTTCGTTTGTAGAAAGGTTACTCCAGAGCTAATAAGCAGGAATGAAGACAAGAAGCAGGACTGAAGACAAAATGGAGAAGATGCAGCTGCCTTTTATAGTCTTTTGCCATGCAGCTTGGTTTCCTTTGTTCCAAACACAAGCTGCCCAGCACATGGTCTGGAAGCCTTAGAGTTCTCTCCATAGGCATGCGCCTACATGCCTTGCTGAGTCATAAGGTGTATCCCTTGTCTTCTCTCAATGGGTCAGTTATATAGCCGATGTCCCTTGATGGGCTGTCAAACAGGCTAGGCAGTGCTAATGCCAATCTGTCTGGGTGTGTCACCCAGATGCACAGCACAAGTTTGGAACTACAGACATACCATACATATAACTTACAATACAAAGTATCAGAGGAGTAGCCGTGTTAGTCTGAATCTGTAAAAAGCAACAGAGGGTCCTGTGGCACCTTTAAGACTAACAGAAGTATTGGGAGCGACTTGCATCTGAAGAAGTGAGGTTCTTACCCACGGAAGCTTATGCTCCCAATACTTCTGTTAGTCTTAAAGGTGCCACAGGACCCTCTGTTGCTTTTTACAATACAAAGGTGATACAAACACATAAATGAGATTATCATACCTGGCAAATTACAATATTTGTGTAGATACTTTACACAGTATATGTGGCATAACCTATTACAATTTTACAATATTGGTATTCATAATATCCTAAAGTGTCCCGCAAATTCCATAAAGTGTCTCACCTGGTTCCCAGGCACCCTTTTTCTATCCTGCCTTCTCCTAAGGGGGTAATACCTTCTGATACGGCCCTCCTCATGGCACAGATAAGAAATCCTTTGCTTCCCTTTGGTCAGAGGCCTCCCATGGTCCTTCCATTGCTCAGGCCCTTCCCCTGGGCTAGCCTTGACCTTACCACTACAGTATGGGCACTCCCTGTGCAGGTACCTCTGTTGCCCAGAGGCCTAACATGCCCATCCCCTCCCTGTTTGCTTCACAGGTAGGAATCTCCCGGGCTGTCACTCTTTCCCACTCTCTGCATAAGGCTTCTCTCTCTCCTATCCCAGTAGGGGCAATCTCTCTTAAAGTGTCCCCTCCACTCACAAGTGTAAGACTGTTCTGCTCGGGCTTCTGGCCTCCTGATCTGGGGCCTTGCTTCTTGCCCCAGGCCCTCTGGCCCCTGCTCCCCTCCTGGAGGATCTTGAGCAAATAACGCTGCTCTTCCATCAACTGCCTCAGGCATTCGTGCAAGTGTCTCTGTGCCTTCCACTGTTGCTGCTGGTTCTCCAGGATCTGGCTCATTAGGGCCTGGATCTCCCTTGGTTACTCATCAACCCCCTTCAGTGGAAGCAGCAACTCTGAAGTCCAGCCTGGGAAGGTACACCTGCCTTCCACCAAAAAGGCCTCCACACATGCAGCTCCTTTGACCTAAGTGTCTCTGCTATAGCCTTTCCCACTTCCCTTGTATCAGGGGTGGCTGTCCAACATTATCTTAGTCTCTCACTCAGTCCCCTCCCCTCAGAGGCGACCATGTGCCTGCATTCTCTACCATGTGTGACAGGGTGGGATTCACCATGCTAGCACCTCCTGCTGGTAATCTTGCAGCTCAGCTCTACAGGTCGGTACGCCGACTCCCAGTGGTGTCTCACCCACCATCACTTCTCCTCCTGGACCCTGGTCACTCTAAAAAACGTGGCATCCTCTTCAGAACACGGCCCTCCAGCCATGGCATACTTTGCACTCCCTCCTTCTGGGGGCCAGTATTGCAGTCCAACTTTCCAGCCACTTCCTCAATGGCATGGGTGATGGAGGAACCTGGGCCTGCCCATTACTCCAGGTCCCGGCCCCACTGCATCCCCTCCAACCTCTCAGTACATTTCCCTGGGCAACTTCCCCACAACCCCAGCACCTCTTCACCCTTATCTCAGGGCCTCAATATGCCAGTCAGCCAGGAGCTCTCTCTCACTCCTCTGTTCCTGCCCAGCACTGCTCTGTCCAGAGTGCTAGCTTTCTTCCACCTGCACAGCAGCCAGTCCTCCCGCATTGAGCTCCAGGTAACAACTGACCCTCCTCTGCCCTGCAGCTCTTCTTATATGGGCTTTCCAGGCCCTGATTGTCTGTGCCTCATAGCTCCTATTGGCTGCTTTTCAAACAGCCTCCCTAGGGATCCATTAACCCCTCACAGGCCACTGTGGGGTGGACGCCCCATCACACTTGCCAAGTCACACAAGAGATCTGTGGTAGAGCCCTTAATTGAATCCACATCTATTGGGTGAAATCCAATGGGAGGTTTGCCAGTTATGGCAGCGGGACCAGCATTTTACCCCTGGAGGTGGATTACAATTAATATGTTGTCTTTTTTGACCTACCCAAGATACCTTTTTTAAGTAAGATAATGAATAGCCTTCTTGTGGTTACTACATTGTTGAATTTGGATATAATTTACAATTACATGTTTCCAAAACATCCCTGTACAACTGTACTTGTGGCTGGGATAATTGGCTAACTACTGTTGAAAGTTAATCCCTCTTACATACTCAGATACGCCAAATAGCACCAATTATTAATTTTTAATTATTAATCAAATTTATTATGGTAATGCCTAAGGGCCAACCAAGAATGAGGCCCCATTCTTCTAGGCACTGTATGGACACAGTAGCAGACAGTCCTTGCCCTAAAGAGCTTAGTCTAAATAGATAAGACACAGAGGGTGGGGGAAGAGGTAGAACACACAAGCATGTGAACACTGTAATGGCAGCAATGTCATGTGAATTTCACAATTTTTTGCAGGTTGGGAGGGGAAAGGGTGAATTAGGAGGCAATCAGTTAAATGGAAATTAAAGTGAAGGAAGCTGGGGCATTGAAGAGAGAGCACATGAGAGAGGCTGAGTTGGGGAGAAATGGGCAAATCGGGGAAGTTTGGAGTGAAGCTGAGGTGAAGAGACTGTGAGGGAGGACAAGGGTTGGAGCAGACAGCCAATCAGCACAGAGCAGAGAAAGTCCAGTCAAAGCTACTTCAGCTGCTCCTACTGGCTGGAATCTCTGATTGGTTCCTCCCTGCAGAGAGAGAGAGAGAGAGAGACTCTCTCCCCTGCACAGTTTTAGATCCAGGAGCAGCATGGTGGTGGGGCGGGGTCACTCTAGCTTAGCCCCATTGTACTCCCTCACCCATACGTAGCAATCCATGTTTTAGCTGTTTCTGCAGATGCTCCTTTTGCCTTCTTCCCAATATCCAGAATCTCACGTAAGTCCTTACCTGCCTCCCTGCTGCTAAAATTTGGGATCCTGCCAAAAGTTAGCAATTGTATTAATAAATAAAGGAAACACTGAGGTTGGAACAGAAGCTTTTTTCTCACTTTATTAAAAGTGGATACATTTACTCATGGTACAAGACTACTCATTACAATGATAGTTAACAACTATTATTATTTTTAACTCTAGCCATCCCCTTCCCAATAGTTTACACCCCTTCCTCCACAACCTCATTATTTGATATGTTTTATTTTCTCTCTTGTCTTGTTCTCGCAGGGTATTTTCAGCTATTGTATTTGGTGCAATGGCACTAGGACAGGCCAGTTCATTTACTCCAGACTATGCCAAAGCCAAGATGTCAGCAGCACACCTGTTCATGCTGTTTGAAAGAGACCCCTTAATAGACAGTTACAGTGATGAAGGACTGAAGCCTGTAAGTTGATCATTGTGTTATGGACAATGTCACCTACTACACTAACTAATGTAACACTGAGGTTTTCTTTCCCCACTCACAAGTTAAGTGTTTAGATTAACTGATCCTTGGGACCATTAGCATTGTGTTTCATCCAAAAACTATGAGGGACAAATTCTGCTTCTGCCTGCTCTTTCCTTGCATTTCTTTGTGGAGAGCCCTCTGCCAGGTCCAGTGAAAATGGGAACAATGCTGCAGAAGCAGCCAATTCCTCTTCTATGCAGGAGGAGCATATCCATGCATGGACCTTGGCAATATAATCAGGCCCTACATTAACATTGTAAAATGTTTTGGGATTCAATTTATATGCAAGATGCTAATAATAAATATTAGTGTACTATAGGAGCTAAGAAGTAGGTGAATCTAGGTGGGCATCACTCAAAGAGGCAGACAGAATGATAGCAGTTCAGTATATTATTTTTATTGTGGTATTGCACACAAATAAAGATGGCAGGACTTTGCTCCAAGGAACTTACCATCTGACTAACACTTCTAATTTTTAAAATAATAACAACAGTCTAAGAAAATGCTGTTAACACTTACCAGGAATCATAAGTTTGACAGTGAGCATTTGGGTGCATATATGGTAATGATAATTGTACAGTAATTTAATTTGAAAAAAAAACCTCTAAAGCAGGATTGCTTTGGTACACTGGCCAAGAATATCAGAAGTGGCTATTGTTATACGGTGCTTAACTTGAGACTCTCAAAGGGGCTTGATTTACAGAAAGCATTAGACGAAGCTGGCGACGCAAAATTACCATTATTTTTGAAAATTTGGCCTTATGTTAAAACTGGTGTGAAGCAGAACTAGCAGAATCTCTGTCTTCAAAATAAATTTACACCTTGTGTTAATTTTTGAAACGTCACAAAAAGGACCAGATCCTGGCTGTATTGAAGTTAATGGCAAAACTCCCATTGAAATCAATAGGAACAGGATGGTTCTAGTTCTCTGTGCATTGTTTTATGATCTGTCCGAATTCTCCTAAAAATTGATCAGATGTTACCATTTCAATTATAGGATATATTTGGTGGCAACATAGCATTCAAAGAAGTGATGTTTAACTATCCAACTCGACCAGATGTCCAAGTGCTTCAAGGTTTGAATATTAATGTAGAAAAAGGACAGACACTGGCGCTTGTAGGCAGCAGTGGCTGTGGAAAGAGCACTGTTGTTCAATTGCTTGAGAGATTCTATGATCCTCTTAATGGAGAACTGGTAAGTGATTCCTTGTGAGAACCTGGTTAAATGATAATTTACCTATATTATTCTTGTTAATATAATAAAATTTAATAGGTACTTTTGATATTTTTTTATCCTTTGTGAAGATTAAATGGAGGCACTAGTGGATTTTTAGGGTTCTGTGTATAACCATAGTGAAGATAGGCAGAATGCAAAATTTTCCACACTTCTCCTGTCATTTTGAGTTAAGGGAAGTGATTCATGGATGAAAATTGCTACATGGGCCTGATTCAGAACATACTGAAGTCAGTGAAAAGACTTCTACTGAATTCAGTGGGATTTGGATCTGGCCCTATGATGGCTAATTATTATAAAACTATAAAATGTACTAGATGCAGATACACTTTTATATATTGTACTAATATAAATGCCCCTCCCTCCTGTATCTTAAAACTATGAGCAGCAGAGAAGTATGAGACCTTTGCTCCTTATTTTTAACGTTAAAGACCAAATTTATGCAATTTAAGGTGCATCCAGACATCATAGTGATGAATATTTCCTAAATGCTTACAATAATCTAGGTTTGAAATGTGTGTAAAGTGCATATAAAACCTCCCCATTACATAATTAACATTTAAAAAGCACGTTCATATCAATTTTTATGACATACCAAATGAAGGTTACTTACTTGTGACCAGAGTTCTTCGAGATGAACTCTGCATATTCCCAGTTTTGGGATGCTCTGACTGGATGCAGCCAGGATGGTGGAACCTTCTAGTAACAGTGACAGTTAGGGCACCCCATCCCTCTTTCCCTTGCCCTTAGTGTTTCAGTGTGTCCTGCGAGCATGGTTATGAAAAGGGGAGTGTCACCTGTTGCTGCCTCAGTTCCCTTCAAATACTAAAGCAAAATACTGATTAATCCTAAAAGTAGGAATCTACAGAAGTGGGAAAGGTTGGTGGGGAGTGTGAATACGTAGAATCTATCTTGAAGAACTCCAGTTACAAGTAAATAACCTTCATTTCCTCTTCAAGTGTCCTCTGCATATTCCTGCTCTGGGGATAGTTTGGCAAGCAGTACTGTAAACTGGAAGGAGGGAGTGGAGTCCTAATTAAACAGCAGTTGGTGCATTGCTCTGCCAAATTGTGCACCAGACTTTGTTGCCACATCCAAAGCATAATGTCTTGTAAAAGTGTGAACTGAATTCCACATACCAGCCTTGCATATCTCAATAAAAGGAATATGTTTAGTGAATGCTGCAGTTGTAGCAACCGCTCTAGTAGAATGCAGAACAGGAGGAGAAAGTGAAGCTCCATTATAACACTTCAATACACAGTCTGACCCATCTGGACAGGCAAAGTGCTGAAATGTCCCAACCCTTAAAAGTACCAGCATATGAGTTAAATACATTCTCTCCAAGTAATATAAGACTGTTCTTATCATATCCAAGGAGTGTACTCTAGATTCCCCTTTACTTGTATGAGATTTAGGGGGGAAAATACAGGTAAATTAATACTTTGATTAACATGAAACTCTGAAACCACTCTGAAAGAATTTAGGGTGTGCTCAAAAAACACTTTATCTTTTTGAAAAGTAGTATAACAGGGTTCTGCCATCAATGCATGTAACTCGTTAATTCTTCTAGCAGACGTGAAGGCTACTATACAAGCTGTCTGTCTAGAAAGATGAATAAAAGAACAGCTCATTTGAGGTTCAAATGGGAGGGACATAAGTTGTGCTAAAACTAAGTTTCAATTCCATGGAGGGGCCAACTCTCATACTGGGGGATAGAAATTCAATACACCTCTTAAACAACGTTTCACCAACTTGTGCGAGAAGATGGATTTTCCATTAGCATGAGTATGGAATGCTGCTGTTGCTGCTAAATGGACTTTAATGGAGGAGAAAGACAACCTCCCCCACCCCGGTTTCTAAGTACAAATATTCCAAAACAAGTTGTATGGAAACTGAGACTGGGTCAACATCCCTATCAGTTGCCAGATAACAAATCTTTTCCATTTGTAACTGTAGCTTCTCCTGGTAGATGCTTTTTCAAGCATTAATAAGAACTTGCTGCACCTCAACAGAGCATGATCTTCCTGAATCTGTTGAAGTCCTATTGCCCACGCTGTTAGATGTAATGACTGATGATCTGGGTACAAACCCTGCCCCCTCTGGACAGTAAGTCTGTTGATAGCAGGAGCATCTTGTATTTACCATTGGATAAATGGAGTAACTCCATGTGTCATTGTTGCCACAGCCTGGCTGGAGCAATTAAAATTATCCTGACCAAATCTGTTTTATTTTCTTTTAAAAAAAAACTTTGAGGATTAGAGGCAATATCCATCAACACCATTCCCCAATGTAAGAAAAATGCATCCATCAACGATAGACTGTTTCTTGAGCCAAAAGAGGGACATTTTATATGGAATCTGGTGGCAAACAAATCTATGTCTGGAAACCCCCAAAGCCTGAAAAAGTTTGGAATAACTGCGTCTTTTACAGACCATCATGCATCTGAGAGGAGTCCCTGTCCAGACAATCCATGATCTCACTGTTCTTCCGCAATATGCAAAGCAATTGGGTAAATGTTATATAGGATGCACCAGTCCCAAAGCTTTATTGCCTTGTTGCCTAGTGGCGACAATCCAGTTCCTCCTTGTTTGTTCAGATAATATACTGTGGACATGTCATCCATAGTCACCTGAATTACTACATCCTGAATCTGCAGAAGAAATGCTTTGAGAGCCAGATGGACGGCCCTGACAAGTAAGAGGCAGGAGTTTGCATGGAGGAAGGGCTTTGAATTGGACAGTATAACCTTCCTTTACTGTGTCAAAAACCCACCTGTCTGATGTGATAGTTGTCCATACATCATAAAATTGGGATAGATGGTCTCCAAAAATACAGATAGGATTTTCTGAAATTGGTTCAAAGCTCTTGATTATCATGTCAAACCTTTGGCTTGACATTTTGCAGGGAGGATGTGGCCGAGGAATTCTTTGTCGTTATCTGGGATTTGTAGGATTTCTTCCTTTCCTATGATTGAGAGGATGCTTGTTGTAGTTGCTGCTATTGTGATAGTATGGCTGTCTCCTTTGATTAAATTAAGATGAAGAGGAAGAAGGTGAAACATATTGCCTATGATATCTGAACACAGGTTTAGATGTTCTCCCTTAGTAGCCCCAGAGATCTAGCTTAGGAGCAAGGCTCTATCTTCTTCAATATCTCATCAGTTTTTGTACTATATAGTCCACCCCCTTCAAAGGGTAAGTCCTATACTGTAGATCTCATTTCCATAGGAAGAGAAGAAGATCATAACCATGAATGCCTACGTAGAGCTATTGCCAATGCCACAGATCTCAGAGTGGTGTCAGATACATCAAATGATGCCCTAAAGGCATTATGGTCACATTTTGACTTTTTTTGATGAAAGTTGATAACTTTTTCTGAATCTCTCAGAGATGTTTGGTGAAGATTGACATGTTCTCCCTCAGTTGAAACTAATACCTGGCCATCACTGCATGACAGTTTGCCACTTGCATGTTGAAGGAAGCAGAAGAAAACAATTTTCTCCCAAGAGAGTTCAACTTTTTCCTTCTTTATCATAAGGAGTAGAGTGTTGAAGACCTGACCTAGGTTTTTGAAGCATTGCTGCTAGAACAAGAGAATTTCTCAGGTGGAATTTGGTAGAACTTGTCAGCCTTTTTTGAAATTGGTTGGCATGATGCTGGATTAGAGACAAAAGGAATTTTTGCTGATGCCAGAGCCCTTCTACATGGGCAATAAAACTATAGACCCAGACCCAGAATGTCAAAAACTGTATGTGCAGCCTCCTTCAAAGCCACCTAAGGTAATTTTAAAGTGGATGCCATTCTGTCCACTAATTTGTGAAAGTGAATTGCATCGCCTGAAGGAGATGATGCTGGTGTTACTCCCACATTGAGATCAGATGAATCACTTTCTGGTTCCATGAAGTCTTGGAATTCATCCTGTGGAGATCCTTCCTGATATTCCTCTTCCAAGAGGATATCCAGTGCCAAAGAAGAGGAATGTTCCCTAGCTCTAGGATCTGAGTGTTCTGACTGAAGATGATCCAACCAGAAAGACAGATTTTCTGTTATGGTATTCATAAATAGAAGTTGGCTAATATGGCCAAGGCATACAAGGAGGCATAGGCCAGTCTTGTCAGTTTCCCAACCTCCTATCATATCACCAGCTTGATACATAGGATATCCACGAGTATTACTTTGAGGAGGAAGACTTTGCATAGGAAATACTTGCGTCTCTGTTATGAGACTTGTATTCGGCTCAACCACCAATTCTGGATCTGACCCCAAAGCAATCAGTGATATAGCTAATGCAGGGATCTGAAAAATGGAAAGTGGCAAGCCAGTTGGAGTCTTAGATGGTGGGCACATTGATTCAGAAGATCCCCCCACGTTGAGTAACTCATCTCAGTCTCTTATCAGGTTAATATTGCAGTAATACCGGATCCATTAAAACATGCATCTGAATGAAATTTGCGCTGTAACCATGTAGCAGGGTCCCCTTTTGTTCTGCCTCTGCTGCAAACTGCAGCCACTGGGAGCTTCAGGCAGCTGTGCAAATGTAAACAAACTGTCTGGTGGCCCGCCAGCAGATTACCCTGATGGGCTGCGTGATTGCCCACTACTGCTCTAGGTGCTTACAAATTGATAGTTACATAATTTGTTCCAGTATCTTTCCAGGTATCAAAGCCTATATCTTACAAGGATGATTATAATCCTGTGTTTGAAGGGAAATGTCTTCAGACTGGCTATTTTTTATAAAGCATCCAGCCCCAAAACACTCACAATCTAAGAGCTTGACTACATGGGAAAGTCTTGCCAGTTATACCAGTAAAATTGTAGCAGTTTAAATTCAGAACTTAACTTATACCTGTAAAACATTGCTTTGTAGACAAGACCTAAAAGTGTGATTTTACTCAATTCTGCATTGTTTGCTTTGTGTATCACTTTATTTATTTTTTATAAATATTTACAACATTAGAAGGAATAAGGCTCAAGGTTAGAAAGCTAGTCTAAGGAACTGGGATTGGAAGCTTGAATTATCTCCTTTGAGATTTCCTTACGAATAAACTGAAGCCACCAAAATCATTGTATAAAGTATTTTGCAAAGAATTGTTGATATTAGCTATAAGAATGGAAAAGTTAATGTAACATTTTTCGTGTAAGCCAAAGCTTTCCTATCTCTGACATTTAAGTATTCTTTCTTTTTAGCTGCTGGATGGCCAAAATGCAAAGGCATTAAATATCCAATGGCTTAGAGCTCAGATTGGTATTGTCTCACAAGAGCCGATCCTGTTTGACTGCAGTATTGCTGAGAATATTGCATATGGAGATAACAGTAGAGAGGTGTCATCTGAAGAGATTGTAAATGCAGCAAGAGCAGCCAACATACATTCCTTCATTGACTCTCTGCCAAATGTAAGTTAAACCTTTTGTTTCTTACTCAAAACGAAGGGTGACTTACAAAGAAAAATAAAAAGGAGTTATGCCCTTTTATGCTCCTCTGGGATGTAAAGGAACCTAAAGGATTTGTTTTTTCCATGCCTTATTACATTAGAAATTCAAGTCTTCTCTACAACATTTTTTCTGGAAGACTCCATAGGCCAGTGGAAAACTAGGTTTATGAAAACAAGCATGTGAAACGTGATTAATTGAGAGAGATAAATGCTTTTAATTAAAGATTGTTTAAAATATTTTAAAGACTAACAGATTTATTTGGGCATAAGCTTTCGTGGGTAAAAACCTCACTTCTTCAGATGCATAGAGTGAAAGTTACAGATGCAGGCATTATATACTGACACGTGGAGAGCAGGGAGTTACTTCGCAAGTGGAGACCCAGTGTTGACAGGGCCAATTCAATCAGGGTGGATGTAGGCCACTCCCAATAATAAAAGAAGTGACGTTTTAACCCACGAAAGCTTATGCCCAAATAAATCTGTTAGTCTTTAAGGTGCCACCAGACTCCTTGTTGTTTTTGTAG